TCAGTTGCCTAGCAACACTCATAAACTGCAAACTTCTTTTCCAAAATGGCTTCCCGTTTTGCATTCTCTACTTTCACATCCCCATAATGCTTTGCGTTTTTTGGAGGTAACCAATCAAAAAACTGTCCCAAATTGAAAGGTTTCTTAATTGAAATTATACTATACGTGTTTTTATTCGTACAATGCTGAATGTCAGTTTATTCCAAGTTAATTTTGCGTGTACAGAACATGAAGAGTTTTGGTCTTACAGAAAATGTATTGACTTATGCAAAAATGTTTAAAATTTACCTTAAACGTCTTCAAGCTTCTATCTTTTTCTGTTTTTTACTTCTTCATTTTATCTTTGGATACCAAACAAGGTATTTTCAACATTGTCTGACCAGCCTTCACCAAAATAAGCGGGTTTTTACCCTCTGGTTACCCCCCAAAGACGCAAAGGATTATGGAAAAGTCGAGAATTGGCAGACGAAGAAACCATAAGAAAACTAAAATGTTCAAACGAAATTGAGAACACTAGAAAGACTACAGGTGTTTGGATAAATGTTTAACGTAAATGGCTTCGTAAAGGCTACTGAAGTAGTCCCAAATGTGTACAACTTCACCAGCTGCCATATGCCTTTGAACATCGCTGGAAATTCAGCACAATCATCTCAGTCTGGACTTAATTAGTGAAAACGCCTACCAAAATGTCACTTTAAACGACTTCTTCCTTTGGATTCTTATTCAGACTAATAACTTAGTTGGTAGGGATCTAGTTTTATGCACCTTTATGGTTTTTGACTTTTGATTTTTTACGTTTGTCGTCCTTTTGGTTGAATCACCTTTTTTTATTAAGATTTTATCATTTCATTTAGCAGAAATATCCAACCGGTAAAAACTGCAAAATAATTACTGTTTTAAGCTCAGCGACCGATGATATTCTTTTGTACAGAAGAAAACCTTGTTCAAGTGTTATTGTTCAAAGTTTGATAGAAGAGAGCACATGTGTAATGAAGAAACACGCTTGAACTCTGCTGAATAAAAGTTATTTTGAACCATAACTACAAATATCTGATAGTTTGTTTTCGTTTAATTTTGTCCTATATATGATAAACGGATAATCGTATGGTTCCTCCTAAAATTAAGGATTATTAATTTCACATGTGTTTTCAAAGTTTTGAAAACATTGAGATCACAATTCGGTGGTTTCAGAAAAATTTGGTAAACTTTTCACTATTTTCCAGCAATAACTGATCTTGGCACACGAAGTAGAAAAATGCGAAAATAACAAGGAATAACATTCTCGATCCTTTATGATCCTATATTATTGAGCAAAGGCCAGAAAGGGTCAAACAGATATGTACCAATTCTGATATATTGTAACTGGTAATATTTATTGACGTGACAAGTTATTCATCTTAATTTTTTTCTTTTCAACCAAGGAACACTAGTTACTTACCTTTTGCCAGAAGAAATGACTTCTCTGTTGCTCCAAATCTTTATAACCAGGTTTTCCGTTTAGTAGAGTCCGTCTCCTCTGCTCACACTAACAGTTTAAGCAGTTAACTAATGAAGGTGGCAAATCGATTAGGGCGCTAACACTTGTTTTTCTATTATTTATTCAGATATGGCAAATGTTTATAACCCTTAGTAACTAGGAGAGCATGCCCTATAGTCGTTCTACTGCGTTCTTATCATTAATACTGCGTACTGTTAAAACAGATAGGCGGTTCTATATTGGTATAAACCTACCAAACGATGAAGAGGCACACTCTTTTGCCTTTACTGAGTGTAGCGGTCAATAAATTAAATTTCAAAATTTYATTCTTGTTCAATGTGAGAGGTTTAGAGTACTAATGAGCGTTGACACCCATGTAAGCATGACAAAAATAGCATTTCTATATCATCACAGTAATACCAAGAGGCATTTTGTGTTTAATAAATAATGTATAATTATTTTAAAAAGCACCAGATGTTTCCCCCGCGGTTGGAAATGCGCAGACAAAATTAGAGGCTTTTGAATCTTGCCAACAACAATTAGTTCAAGTAGAAACGTCCAACAAAGCAGTCTGTCCTTCAGGAGATACACACTTAAGTGATTAATCGCAATGTTTCTTATCCCTCTGCCGCAAAATAGACCTAATTACATTGAAATTCTTTACGAAGATCGGCATTTGAAAACACCCAAGAAAAGTTGATTGTAGCAGGTGCAATAGTTTCTGGCTTACCAAGACTGAACCGCCACGCAAAGCAGATGGCGTTGACATTTCAATTCCACTTTTGGACTGACATCTAGAGCTAGGTGTATGACATGACCTTCTATAGTAGAATGGAAAAACATTGAAATTATAAGAAAGAAAAGAAAAAAAATGAAGTCATACTCAAGGGAATGACTTTGTGAAACAAGAAAACATGTCATTTGAATGGAAAGACATTGAAACTATTAGACTGTATGACAAACACGTTATAAAGATTTGTTGCAGAAAGACGAAAAAATACTCAATAGAATGACACTGCCTGAAACATATGCAAAAAAATCTGTCAATTGGAATTGGGGTGAAATTCTAGGCCAACAACAACAGCTATACACATTTTCATGCAGTCAAAGATGGACCAAGAAGTATTCCTCAAAAATCCAGTTGCTTTTAGGGCGCAATCATATATTTTTAATTCATAGAAAAAGCAGTTTTYGCCACCGTTCGCGAATCCAAAGAAAAGGGTTTTTTYYCCAAAAGTTTAATATTTGGACATGRTAGACCTCCTCGGCTGTGACGTAATGTTTTCCCATTTCAGACCACATGTCATTCCCTAGAGTATCATTTCTTTGTTTAAGCTCAAACAAAGAATCTTATTCTCAAGGGAATGACACGTAGTCTGAAATGGAAAAACATTACGCCAAGCCGAAGAGGTCTATTCATTTTCATGTAGAATGAAATATAAAAAGGAATACATATTAAACCAAATATTCGCCAATTATTTAGATTGCCCAGCTAGTATAATTATACAAATTGATTTTATAAATGTGTTTATTTTTTCACATTCAAATTGAGAGCCCCCCTGTACGCATGACAAAATATTTAAGAGCCCCCTCCCCCCATATATTCATCCCCCCCNCCCCCCCCCTTAATCCTTGTCTTGATCCTGCGGAGTTGTCACGTTTGAATTTTCAATTTATAACCCTTTTTTGTGTTATTTCCTTGATATAGTGTTTTCATCACGTTTTTTCTTATTGAAACTGCAAATGAGCCAAGTTTGTTTTTACGCTTAAACCTAATATCCATTTCAAAATCTCACACGTGTCGACTGTATAACGCGGTCCTAGGACTAATACTTATAAGACTAAGACCTCGGGAAAAGAAAAGGCCTCATTAGTAGGTATACTCTATATAGAAATACTAATCTCTTATTTAAAAAAACATAATAGACCCTTTGTAAAGCAAATGCAGCTCTATCATTCRGAGGACAAAGCAAAAAATTCTCATTAGAGTAAACTCTTATTGTCTCACCATATGAATGGAGCTGAATTAGGCATACTATCCTGCAAGGGTCTAGTTGTCGGATAGTCGTTACTTTTAGTTGCTGAAGTCTTACAAATCGCACTGAAAATGGCTCCTGTTTTCGCATACTGGGATTACAGATCGGTAAGTATTAAACATTTGAACATTTTCGATATAGTGGTGTGCAAGCAATTATAATCTCTCCGTAAAAACAATTTCTAGCTATGTAGAAGACCTTTTTGGAGTAAATTCCGACAAGCGACATGGCCTTGAAACTACTCCTATATAAAGAAAGCTTTACTTATAGCATATTTGGATTCCTAATTCTTTTTTTAGTGAATATTTATCAAAATTAATTTTCCTCGAAAAATTTCTCAAAACTTTTAAAAACCGCGAATTTTAACTCGACAAAAGGAAGGCTTGCACTCGTCTCCTCTGCCGAGAGGAGCTCTGAACTATGAAACAAATAATAGAACGAAGAATTAAAAGATTAAAATCGTTCTATTGTTTTTGACACCCAATACTTTTTGAGTGCTTACGTGGAGGAATGCTAACTCGGGACAGTCATCTTGGTTTGGCTGAAAGAGGACTGGATATATTAGGAAGGCTGGGAATAACAAAAATAGCTTGTTTTAAATCAGCTGATAAAGTCTTTGAATCTCATTATCTGCTGCAAATGGTTGTCAAACACTTACCACCACGTGCTGTCAGCCAGAAAGAATTCTATTGAAAACTYGTGATTCAGCTGATGAACATTTGCACGAGACAGGAAATGAAGTCAAGTGTAACCCAGCAATAGGTTGCTATCAATAGACGTCACTTCCGGTAATAGCTCTTTTTTGATGGCTTGTAGAATCCTGGAGGTTGTTTTGATCTCTTGTCTTCTGATTTGATGTCGTGAAAATAGTCAAATACAATAGTTTGAGGACTTATTTTGATATGTTTTGACTTAGCATCCGTTAGTTGCCCCCCAGTCAACCGCTTGTTTGCCCCCCAGTCAACTCCAAAAAGTCACGTGATTGATAGTAAGCAATTATCAATATGAAAAGTAGAGGGAGATAGGAAAAAAAAAAAAATTAGTGCCTTAAAAATGTAAGTTATTTAAAGTTTCTTTTAATCAGATTGCTCAACCTATTCGTCTGTTAATACACTATGTTGGAATGGAGTTTGAAGAAAAGAGATTCAGCGGTGGTAGTGTCGGTAAGTTGATTATGAAAAGTATATGATATTGTATCAAACCTTTATCTGGAGGCAACTCTATTATATTGCCACATATAAAGATATTCTGCCTTTCTGATTGGTCGAGAGCCGTGGTAAATAAGAAGACATACCAACAAATTACGCCAACAAATCACGAATCGCTCGCGCCCGGAAGCAGCGAGCGCGAGAAAACATTTTTCTTTCAAACTTTTCTTTGTTTGTAAAAATAAAAATTAACAAATTGACATCAGATTCTTATGTGTCTGTCCTCTTATTGACAATAAATTGCGTCATCACATTGTGATGAAACATTGTGGCGAAATTTATTGTCAATAAGAGGACAGACACATAAAAATCTGATGTCAATTTGTTTTTTACAATAACAAAAACGATAAAAACTTCTCATTTTTAGCGATCAAAACAACCAACGGAAAGAGCGCGCGCTCGTTGACGTCAGTTTTATCTGTCTGTCTTCTTATTGATGATAAAAAATAACCATTCAGCGCGCGAGAAATTTGTAAGTTATTGTAAATATTTCGATGGTTTAGAGTGGTTTGTCCTCTAATTTACCACGATATGACTTCAACAGTTGGTCAAAAATAGTTATGTACCCTCTCGCATACACCTTGTAGGTGCATAACATTTTCAGCAACTACTATTAACTTCATACCGTACCACGCTAAACCATGGGAATTTATATTTGTTTTAAAAGTCTCTTTTCCCATCAACCCTTGCTCAATCCCTTTTTCCATTCTTTGTTGATTTATTCTTACGTTCATTATCCTTTCCTTCCTTGTCTCACTCTTTTTTCCATTTCTTTCGCCCTCCATCCTTTCCTTTTCATTCCTTCCATCTTTCCTTCCTTCTTTCCTTCCTATGTTCCTTTTTGTTTGTTCGCTCCATTCTTTTACCCTTACTTTTCCCAGTTTCATTAATTGGATTTTTAACTCGTGGATACACGAAGCATAGAAACGAGCTGTTGTGAGGGATCTGAATATGCAAATGTGTCACTCACCGACTCACTAACACGTTAGCAGATCGATAATTAAAACGATTATCAATCGTCTTACCTTGTCTGCTTAGGTATGTTACATGAAGTTATACTTTCTCGGATCTACTTCTCCAAAGCTTCTTGAAGATTTTGGCTCAAAACCTATTTTACTTTCTTAATATTGATGTCTAGCAATCTCACATAGCTTTACTTTCAAATGTATTTATATCAAAAAAAATCTAATATTAAAAACGCTCCTGGTCGTTTATTAAACGATACATTTATACCACCTCTATTTGAACTTCAGCCTCAGATTACAGCAGAGAATGCTGGGAAAAAGAAAAGTTTACCCTGGGACTTGACTTTCCAAATGTAAGTTAACTGAGTCGTTTTCCCTACTTGTAATAGCAGTTGGGTGGGATATAGTGGAGGGCATGTGGGCTTCAGCCTAAGAAATAGGATCCAGGAGTGTTATTCTTAGTGGGCTGAGGACGGGGAGGGGGGTTAAAATCTCTTTAAGTTTTAAGGTGTACTTGAGGGCATACAACCTGATAATGAATAAAGGTGCTGACACTCGGTGCAATATATTGCACGCAACATTGCAAGCAGCAAATWTGAATCGGGGTGACACACATTGCTACAAAATCTCTTGTGTCAGCCTGCTATGTTAAGACATTTGGTCAGCAGTGTTATAAATTTGGTGCAAGCTGATTGGCTGGAAATTTCAAAATGTTGCAGGTAATGTTGATGAAATTTGCTGCGCGCAATGTTGCAAGAGTAACGTTGCATGCAACAAGTTTTGGGGTAGACACACGCTGCAACAGTCCTGTTGCGTGCAATGTTGCATGCAATGTTGCACCGTGTATCAGCACCTATAAGGCACCTTTAAGGCTTCAATTTAAAAAATGTTAAATGATATATGATTACAAATTATTTAATTGTTGCTAATGATTTCATCATTACAGCTTCCTTATTACATTGATGGTGACATAAAGATAACTCAAAGTGGTGCTGTAAGTTTACGTTATAATGGTTCCAATGTTAATGCAGACGATATTGTGTGCTCTCATAAAGCACGCTTTCTCAACCAATCAGGAAGCAAAATCTATATGATTAGTTATTTTATAACTATAACGGCTCATCTAGGGATATCACAATTTTAATTATATTGTACAATGATTTACGGAGTACAAATAAAAAGTAAACAAAAAGGAAAGATAATAGTAAGAAGATAGATATTTACAATAATAAATCAGAATGAATAYTGATATTAAATTACAATTTAGTTTATGATAACAAGTAATAGTTTAATATAAAGTACAGAAAAAGAATGACTAAGAAGTAGAAAACTAAAATCCACGAGAGAGAAAAAAACTAAAACACGTCCTCACTCCTCGGTGTCGTATTAGTAAGTTAGTGTTAGTATTTTATAACTTGACTTAGTGTTTGAATCAGATCCGCCCGGAAGTCGTTTCAGGGTTTGAAAAAAGTTGAGGGTTTATCATGTAGTTCATATAGTTCATGTAGTGTCATGTAGTTCATGTTCTCTTGCTTCGATTCATTCATTAAAAAAAGCATTCAACCCTAAATATTTTCCAGATTCTTCGTCACATTGCAAGGAAGAACAAACTTTGTGGAGAGACAGAGAAAGAGAAAATCCTAGTAGACGTGATGGAAAATCAAGTATGTGCAATATCGAAATTATATTACTTACGATATTATAATTGACTATACTGAGATTATTTTTAGGTTCGAAAACAATATGCATATAATATTCCAATAAAAGATTGGTATGTTGAATCTGTAATTGACGTTTTTATTTTAGGTGGTAGATTTCCGCAGAGGGTTCTTTATGCTGTGCTACAACAAGGAAAGCTTTGTAAGTATCAAATAAATAAGAAATCAATAGATGTACACCAGCAAGCAAGGTGATTTTACTTGACACGCCCGAGAAAAAAAACCAAAAACAACAAAACAACAACAACAACAAAAAGCAGAAGAAAAAAAACAATTAATGTATTCATTTATTTACCTAGAATTATCTTTTATTTATCTATTAGGATRAAGAAAAACCAAAATATCTCCAAAATGTTGTTCCAAAGATCAAAGCATTAGCAGACTTCCTCGGTGAAAAGAAGTTTATTGTTGGAGACAAGGTAATGCTGTAAACAAAATTAATGTTTGCAATAGTCCTCTTCACAGTCCCCTGCGCCATCTTGAAAGGTAGCCGTGCCTTTGCATGAAAGTGAGACGAACGGTGAGCTTGCAATGATCGATAGAGAACGTTTTTTAACACCTTGGACAGTTATTCACAGGTCTCTATCATTGCAAGCTCACCGTTCGTCTCGCTTCGATGAAAGACACGTCTACCTTTCAAGATGGCGCAGGGAACTGTGAAGGGGAATATTGGTTTGGCCTGAAACGTGTTACAAAATGCAACATATTGCAAATGTGTTGCAACTTCTCTTGCAATTACATCGGAAAGGGTTTTTCCCTAGAGTGTGGCATCATAGTTCCCATGGTGGAAGATAAAATTAGAAAAAGATTACTCCTTACACAGGAAAACCCATTTAGATATACCTCAAAAGAAGGGTTAACGTTCTCATCACCAAAAGCGATAGGCCAAAAGCGATAGGAGATAGGTCATACCAAGATCTATCCTAGAATAGCTGGAATGACTTGTGCTTCTGCTTCTTATTCTGGTCAAGACATGGACCTTAGTGTTAAGACTAATTCAGTGTTCTTTGTATTCAACGAAACCATTTCCATGTCGAAATGACCTATCGCCTATCGCCTTTGGCGATGACAACGTTTTTTGAAAATGTGTAGAACTGAAACCTGGTGAAATAAAATCGGTGAAAAAATTGACCCTAGTTATTCAATTCGAGGTGAAGATAATGTTCTTCATAAAACAAACAGGTGAAAAATTTCACTAAAAAATGCGAAAAACCAAATTTCTGCATGCAGCTCGCAGACACAGAGTTCGCATGTTAATGAAAATTGCAGTACTCATTGAATTGTTGTTTCATTCCAGATTACGTTTGTGGATTTTATGATGTACGAAGCTCTTGATCATCATAYGGTGCTTGATGCTTCTCTATTAGAGCCCCACGCCAATCTCAAGGTTCGTCGAAAGACTTACGTAAATAGACAGTTTATAACAAGAACTGCGGACCACCCTAGAAAGCGGGGGGCTAAGACTGGAAGATATGAGATATATAGTATGGGAAAAGGTAAAGTGACGGGGCCCTACCCCCCAGTCTCCCGTCTTCGCGGTCCGGCATATAGGCAGTTCTATCTACTAACCCCTTTTTACGTCGTTTCCTTAGGCATACCTTGAGCGGATTGAGGTAAGCTAGTCTTTTGCTTCTTTGATATAGTGCTTACTAATCTTTCACGGGCCAAGTAAATTACTCAGTGAACTCAATATGTAATTGTGAAGCTAGCGGATTTTCTATGATTCTCAGTCACGCGCGACCAACTAGGCCTTCATCACAAACGAAAAATTGAGTTTGGGTGGACCTCAATCAAAAGGGTCAATACCGAAAGCTTGATAGCTTTACAGTTAAGTGTTTGAAATTTGGCCTCGTAATCCTTCGTTTGTGATTTAGGTCTCAGTTGGGTCGTCGCGTGTGACTGGGAATCGCAGCAAGTAGTGATATGGTTGAAGATATCGAGTCATATAGATATCGATAGTGATTTTTTGCCTCAGATATCAGTAATACCAGTTATTCCTTTTCCCCCCAGGCATTGCCTGCTATTTCTGCTTACATGAAGAGTGACAAGTTCATTACCAGTCCCATCAACGGTCGATCTGCCAGATTAGGACATGACGGCGATTGAATAACGCACCGATTTTAAGGACATGCCAATCATAGAAGCCCCGAGCGCTAACTAATGTGAACCAAATATTAATGTTTCGTAATCGCAATTAAAAGCTTTTTCCATTTTATTTTGCTTTATTTTTGTTTTCTTTCTTATCTCATCGTTTTTTTGTTTTTTGTTTTTTGTTTGTTTTGGGGGGGGGGGGGGGGGTTTTTTTTTTGGGATCTTTAAATTTTGTAGTATTGTGGGGGGGGGGGGGGGTCCTGATATATTTAAGCAGCACGAATAATAAGAACAGGTACTACGAATTATGGGCATGCTCCCCTTGTTGGAAAGCGTTATAGAATGAAGGCATTTAACCCGTAACCCCTTTGATTCATTGTGCACCGTCAGTRACACATGATGGTACGATTCAACATCAAAGGCAAAACAATAGCTTTGTACTATGTTATCGACACAGGAGAAGTGAATTTCTTTGACTGGTTTTTTGGAACAAACTTTTACATGAGAATATTGAGAAATTAGCAGAAAACTGACTTTAATTTTATAATGATAATGGATTACATGTATTATGTGAGCACTATGTAATGGAGTACGACATTTCCCCCCTTAAATTTGTTTTCCAGAAAATAGCGAAAATAATAACATAATAAAATAATGACAAGAACGAGAACGTTGTAAGGCGTTCCAGATGAAAGATGTCAGGTTATACACTGCTACAACACAACAGTCTACCACACAGTGGTGGTTAGGAGGACAGCTATAGGGTGACCACACAGCACATCTACTGACCTTGGAATATGGGAACTTGTTACTATGGTAACACTAACCCAGTATTCAAATACACTGCAACACAACAGTCTACCACACAGTGGTGGTTAGGAGAACAGCTATAGGGTGACCACACAGCACATCTACTGACCTTGGGATATAAAAAATTGAATGGAAAATAAACTGATTGGTTGCTATGGTAACACTTATGTAGTATTGGGATTCCTGTGTTAGATAGACTATTATGGGTTATGGGAACACATGGTCAGAGAAACTCGTGTGAAGTGTATTAAAACAGTTAAACTCAGTTAATTCTGTGTTATCTGTGATCCCCGGGACACTACAACTAACACTGTATTCAAATGCTTTGCAACTCAACAGTCTAAGCTTTCAAGGGCACGTACTTATTGAATGTCATGGAAATTCGCGTCTTGGTAAAACCTTCGTCGCAACGCCAGTTGTGTACGGTTTCGCACGTGTGATTGATCAAACGAAAATTGAAATAAATATTCTATGGAATCTGCACCAAAACTAATGAACCTCTACTCTTTCTGCCGGTTTCAAAGATCTTCTTAAAGTCGCTGAATCACAAGTTTTCTATAGCATTCATTTTCCCTGACAGCATCTGTGATGATCAGTGTTTGTTCACCATTTCAAGGAGAGTCTAAGAAGATAATGAGATTCTTATACTTTTAATTGCTGACTGAAACCTTTCAAATTCTCTGTCGTACAGGGTTAACCTCAGTTTCGTAAGGAACGATTAATTTGAATTTCATGTGTTCCAATGAATGTCCGTGGAATTTCAAAGGGTTTGTTTTGTTGACGAGATGAGGGTTATTGTATTTAGGGTTCATACGGAGGCCGTGAACGTGGTATTTTCGACATATACCGTGACTGAAATCGATAAGTGTTTGTTGTTTCTGGTCGCTATTTTCTCATTGGTTTCTATTTTCATCCGGAATTTAAACCCGAAAATGCATTTCCTTTTAAAAAAAGAAACTTTTTATTAGTAATTTACATTATTTTAGCAGTAATTTACATTATTTTTTTGAACCCTAAATACAATAACCCAAACTGATTTTTGGATATGTTCTAGAAGAACATCTAAATAGTTCATGACGTGAGTTTCATTTAAAAAAAAGTGGCGCACTTGATTTTTTTTTTTTTTTTGGGCGTAGCAAGGGTCCGATCTATGTGTGAATACCACTCAATTCTAAATATCATCTGACCGCTTTCAAAAAATAGCTAAAACCATTATTTTATACCCAATCAAGTCTCGAACATCTCTTCTATCAATCTATAAACATATAGTTTTCATATCTTTTTCCTATTCTGTATTGCGTTAGTTGTTTTTGGACCTGTTTGATTCAACTGAAAGTTTGCCTACTGTTGAGATCGCCGCTTGGCCAACAGATTTTCTAGGATTTCTCAGAATTTTAGCGGTTTTTTGAAAAACTAACTACAACACGTTTGTTTACTCGGTCTTCCAGCAAACCAAAAATGAGCAAAATCGAAATTTTGACTGTAACCGCGATTTCTCGATTTTGCTCGATATTATAGTGTTGTTCAAAGCCCGATTAGTGCTAATCCTGGGTTAACTCTAAATAAGACCTATAGAGTTAATCCTTGATTAGCGCTAATCCAGCTTTGAACAACCCGGCCCTGCTCTTAATTTTAATTCATTCAAGTCCATCCATCGACATATAGCTGCAACACAGTAAATGGAAACTACGATTTTTTTGGTTTTATTAAAACCATACTGGGCGATAAAGAAAAGAGTGTTGTTTTGGGGCATGCTGTTCTAACAACCAAGTGTTATTAATACACCTGTCATATGGGAAACAGATATCACGCCTACTCGATGTCCCAAGGTTGATGTCTGAAGCAGCTTTAATTTGACTCTACTGATTTGACCCTATATTCAATGTACGACTTTTGCGGACTCTTCGCCTGGCTGTGGGTTTAGCCTAATATACGTACGGTAAGTTCAGTCCCCAATAAGTTAAAAATAGTTATTTCTGATTAAACAAAAAGCGGAAATCTTTATTGGGCAAGCAAATGTGGTGAACCGGGCATGGATATCTTACCTCTCCCCGCTTTCTCTAACGCCTTTCAACATTATCGTCTATTCAGATTTCTGTTTCTAAATTTTAGGAAACAGGATTATAAAAATAGGAAACAGGATCATAAAAATGAGTGTTCCAGGTATTTTGAATCCGTTAGCCTATTTCGTTAATCTAAGTCTACAACGAAGTGAATAATTCCCTATGAAATGGAAAACTGAAATCTAATGTTCCTCCTTTGTTTAAAAAGGGCTATTGTCAAGATAAAAAGAAAACCTTCTTGTTTCTCTTCTTCCTTCGTTATGTAAATTATTTGAAAAAGTTGTTTTTGTTCGTGTTATACAATTTTCTTTTAGATATTAAAAAGGACGACCATTACAGACTCCGTCATACAGTTTATTCATTCTAGGAGCTCTTCCCATTGACAAGGTAAGTAACTAGTGTTTGTGTCTGTATGACTTAAAGGAAGGAAGAAAATTACACGAATAAAATCAAAAATTGGCACATTTGAATTATGCATATTTTTGACCGCTATTAATAGGTAAGCGAAAATAATCATTACCCTCATGTGTGCGAATTAGTGTTTCGTGTATGCCAAGAGCATCCTTGGAATAATAATATTATTATTAATAATAATAATAATAATAATAATAGCGCTATTTTCTATTTTCTCTTTAAACTGGATTTACATGTTAAAGCTTTGCACTGACGGATGTGATCAGGATTATTCCAAAGCTTTAGGGCAGCATCGGAGAACGACCATTGGCCGTATTTGGAAGTCCTAAGGGTTTCCCGCAATCTTCCAGATCAGTTTCAAATCTTCATGCAAACATAGAAAATAATTGAATGATTGCAAAGAGGCTGAGACCCTCGACAATAGATCTCTGCGGTTGACAATGACAATCGAGCTAAACAAAATAAGTYATCGTACGCCTATACACATCGTAGGCTATTGACAAAGTTGAATAGAGGTCTATTGGTTTAATTAGCATATCTTTTCCTATTCAGTGCTACCCTCATTAAATAAAGGATTCATTTTAAGTTAAGGTTGTTTTTCAAAAAAAAGTTTAATTAATTTTACCATTACCAAAATTTTTCACTTATTTTGAAGAGTAAGCTTCGTTTTGTTACATTAAAAGTGCCCCTCACCCATAACTCAATATTCTAAGTACTAAATCTACTTGAAGTAAATAGTTGGCTGTTTAATTTTATATGATTTGAGTGATGTTCTTTCAATGAGTTTAACCTCAAGAGAGGCACTATTTGAGTATATTTGTCATCATTTGTAAATTGAAACACTGATTATCATGAGAAAACAAACTTGTAAACCTTTCTGTAAACCCTGAGTCGAAAACAATGATGCTTTATACGGGATGTTTTACTGCCCCAAAAGAAACCTTTGAATAAACATCACACATCACATGAGGAGGAAATATTYAACTTTGGGATCTATTTTATGATTCCTATACAACTTTTATGACTCCTTATAAACTTTTATAAACTTTATAAAACGATTACCAAACATAAGAATTCCATGAATCCTAAAATAATTSAAAACCACTCCTTTGAAGACATCATCCCTGATTCTCGATAAAAACAAKTTTAACGATCATGTTATAGACATTACAAAGCCGAAACAGTCACACATTGCCTCAAAAATTTGCTCAAYGTTTAAAGAATCCTAGTCGTCAATTACAATACATTGCGTCCCTATATTATTGTTTACATCGTTCRTCTACGTCGTTCTCGAAGCTCTTCCATGCACTGCTGGATAAAAATTCCTGCAAATTCACTATGCCAAGGTCTTCAAATTCCCAAAGTTTCCTTCCTTTTTTTCCAAAGCAAGGAGATAGATTTTCCAGAGAGATTCTCTTTGAGACATTATGACTTTTCGGTCGTTCAACTGTTAGACATCACATTTTTCGAAATCTACTTTAGATTCGTTGCCAAAATTTAAAAAATCTCATGGAAAACATAATAAGACAAGGTATCATTATTTTATGATTATCATAAAACGTCTACCAGRAATAACAAGATCGATGGAGGTGAATTTTCAAACTTCACCTGCAAAACCGCCATTTTGTCTGGCAGAGAAAATGGCCGATTGTTTGACTGTTCCGGCGCSCAATGCATTGTAGTTGAATAAGATTCTTTAAGAACTACTTGAATGTAAATGATGATCCCCATTGAGAAAAGACGTGATTATATAATAATGTCTACGTYTTATGGTTTCAAATAACGTGACCCTCCTATCTTTTACATTAGTATTCACTATAATAAAAATAATAAAAATTATACGTTTTTTGTGATATCATGTTTTTCCGTTTTATAATTACAGCAAGGTAAAAAGAAACATGCTGTCACACGTGATCCTCACGCTGTTATCATGCGTCACTCACGTGATCAGTGAGTTYCAATGTCAAGGAACCTGCTATTCGGGATCTTTCCCAAAKAACAACCAAGTTATCAAGGGAAAAYATCTCAGAGGATACTCCTACAAGAACRTTACCATTAATGTTCCAYGCACGTGCTTYTCGTCCTGTRTCAATGACTKTCGKTGTMAGGCGTTCCAGATGAAAGATGTCAGGTGTGAGTTGCTGGATGAGGACAAGACTTCCAAGGCARMAGACTTTGTAGATGAGACAGGATAYGTGTACTATGATCTACARCAGACATTCTATAAAGGGGTRAGTTTTGATGCTTYTGCTGTTATAYATGATYATTRYRRGACTAAAATSAATTTTCMAYTTTTTWCTTAAGAAATCCCAYATGGYTCATCCTGCGGGTGTGTGCTATAATGGATGCTGTAGAAAGAGTCAGTCTTGTATGAAYGGAGGWACCTGTGTAGAACACTGTGAGAAACCAAAAGTCAAGTTCAGCTGCAAGTGCCCAGYCACTTACAAAGGAAAMKTCTGTGAARAGAGAGAGTTCAGTTCCTGCATTGATGTSTTSAAMGGAWCTGCACCAGGTACCATGCCAGCAAATGGTACCTACATTATCACCCGTAGTGATACCAAGACTACTGTACCCGTCTATTGTGCTTTTGAAAGTCCAAACCAGGCCTGGACTCT